GGGGGGGAGGGTCAACGGGAGAAGGAGGGCCCCGGCCGCCCCGTACTCCGAGTACCGGTCCAGCTTGCGGGCCCCCCGCACCAGGCGCAGCAGCCGCGCCGTCTTCAGCAGCCCGATCAAGGTGGTGGTCTGCAGACGGGCGACAGCCACGTCAGGACCGTGGGGCGTTATGGGAGGAGACATCCCCTACGGGACCCCCAAGACCCCAGCAGGGCCAAGACCCCAGAATAGGGTCTGTCCCCCAACCCAAAGACCCCTCCATTGTCTCCCCAGGCAAAGGTGCCGCTGCAGAAGGTACTCCTGCTTCGGGCTGAGGTGCCCCTGCTCCCCCAACGTGACCCGGGGCATTGCCCCCACAGCAGAGCCCCCCTGGTGCTACAGGACCCACAGACACATGTGGCTGGGAAGCAGTTAAAGCCTCACCCGCCCCCTCCCTGTCCCTGCTTTCCTTGTGCCGAGCGCTGCACCTGGGATCCTTCCCATCCGTGCTGGGCACGGGGGTCCCGCGGGGCCAGGCCCACATTCGCCCGCACCTGCGCTCAGCCTCACACGCACAGCTGCCTGCACGCTGCGCCCTCCCAGCACCGGCCCCCGGGCATGCCGCCGCGGGGCTCTCGTGCAGGGCGCCCAGGGAGCATCGCCCCAACGAGGGGCTCTGGGCTCTGCACAGCAGCCCCCCAGCACAGAGAGGGGGCTTGGAGCAAGCTAGGGGGCACAGAGCGACCTGAGGGGGGGCTTGGAGCAACCTGAGAGACATGGAGCAACCCAGAGGGGCACAGAGCAACCTGGGGGCTTGGAGCAACCAGGGGGGCATGGAACAACCCAGAGGGGCATGGAGCAACCCAGGCGCTTGGAGCAACCAAGGGGGCTTGGAGCAACCTAGTGGCATGGAGCAACCTGTGGGGGGCATGGAGCAACCCAGAGGGGCACAGAGCAACCTGGGGGCTTGGAGCAACCAGGGGGGCATGGAACAACCCAGAGGGGCATGGAGCAACCCAGGCGCTTGGAGCAACCAAGGGGGCTTGGAGCAACCTAGTGGCATGGAGCAACCTGTGGGGGGCATGGAGCAACCCAGAGGGGCACAGAGCAACCTGGGGGCTTGGAGCAACCCCCTAGAGCAACCTGGAAGGGCAGAGAGCAACCAGGGGTGGCGTGAGCAGCTCTGGCCAGCCCCACGCAAAGGGTCCCATCCCCATCCCTTGTCCCACAGAAGGGCTGGAGGGGAGGTGGGTCCGTGCGCCCCAGCGGGGCAGGCGGGTACCTCCTCAGAGCCGGAGCCAAAGATGAGCAGGTCGAAGGGGATGGCAGCAACCATGTCGATGAGGAACCAACCCTTGAAGTAGTGGATGGCGATCTTGGCGGGGTGGCTCACCACCTCCTCGTTGGAGTTGACGTAGGTGGTGCGGAAGTTGATGAGGATGTCAATGATGAACATGATGTCCACGATGAGGTCGACCACATTGAGCGGGCTGCAGGAGTAGCCGCAGTTGCGGCGCTGAGCCTCCTCCTGGTCGTTGAGCAGGAAGGCGGCCGAGTAGGGCGTGAAGATGGCCGTGTAGATGACCAGCAGCAGGATGAGCCAGTCCCACACCGCCTTGAAGGGGCTGTAGTGCAGGATGGTCCATTTGTGGATGCGCGGGGCTTGCAGCTTGTACTCGGGGAGCACGTCAGCGCCGAGGGACAGCACCTGGGCGGGCAGGCAGGGGGTCAGCTCCCGC